CACTATAAATCCAACAAGTAAATGTCATTAATTCAAGCTTGATATGTTTTATTTGTGACTCAGAACACAAAATAAAATACGTAAAAAGTGGAATATCAGGACTTACAAGCTAGGTAGTTTACATAAAGTTAGCATCGGTATCGGTACTCGGTATCGGCCGATAATTAAGAATCAGGTATCGATATCGGAAGAGAAAAAAAAAATGATATCAGTGCATCCCTTGTTAAAAGCAGAATCTTAATCTTAGTATTTGGTCTTGGTATCTAGTACAAGTGTGCATTCAAGCTGGTAAGGCCTCCACAAATTTGTGCAAAAACCTCTGATAAGTAGATCAAATCCACGTGAGAGCCGTCTGAACACGTTCTTCAATGAAAGAGATCAGACTCAAAATCATTTTAAAAATAAAAAAGGTCTTAACATGGTCAGCATCACAAATTTGTTTAAATTTGAACAGTGGCCTAAAAATAATTGAGAATCTTGAATATTTCTTCATTTTACTTGTCACAACTTTGTTTTAATTTTTTCAAATTCTAAAACTTGTTTATTTCCAGGTATAAATGAAAGAAATCCCAGATTTTCAATGTGGTCACAGAAACTGCACATATATGAAATATAGCAATATACTGACTGCTTTTCGCCTTATTGCCCAGCCCCACACACACACACACACACACACACACACACACACATACACACACACACACACACACACACACACAATAATAATTGACTTGATCGCCACATTTTTAAGACAGAGTAAAGAAAATAGGTTCTGCAGTTGATTGAACACAGCTTGACAACTGGTCAACTGTGTCTCTTTTAGTTTGTGTTTTATTTAAAAACCAAACAGCGGCACATGCGCAACAGTGGAATGTCTAGCCAGGCTAAGTGTCTTGAGGCCAAGACATGCAAACTACATAGTCAAAATAAGACCTTATCTGGGATGTTACTCATACTGTACACTGTTTGAATGGCAACATTTAAAGGAAGCACATCCAGTGTTTTTTCCATGAAGTAAATGAACGGAGCCAAACTGCTGTAGGCTAAATAAACGGATATGTAAATTCATTCAAAATGGGCTGTTTTTCCAGCTTTTCTATCCATATATGGACTCAACAGTGAACGATGTGTTTAGAAACAGTGTTTGCTACAACATTATTTAAAAAAAAAATCCATATTCCACGATATGGGCCCTTTAACAAAATAAGCATAAGATATAATGAAGTATTAGTGCTGTGAGTCCATGCTACATATCAAGGCTTTAAATTTGGCTGAATTCAGACATATCTGCAGAAACAGAAGCCAGAACAGCTCACTGCATTCTCATGTTTTTGAAAGCTTTTGCCCTTTTGCACTGATCTGAAGCTAGTTCTGTGCTTTCTCTTAAAACAGTTTGGAGCAAGCTGGTCCAAATCCAGCCTGAGAGGGCATTTTCTACCAACATACACCCACAGATCACATCTCTTCTTTCATTAGGGAATTAGAGAAAGAAAGCAGTTTGGCAATGGAAAACAGAATGAATCTATCTATCTGCATCTCTCTCTGTGCACCTGAGGTAGTGCACTATAATAATATCCCAACTGATCAGTGTGTGTTCGGGCAGGTACTGGGTGTGGCCCGGTGTTGTTCTGTCTACGCGCACACTTCTGCACCTTATTCCTGGCAAACGCTTACATGAAAGTGAAACTGAAATCAAAACCTTAACAAAGCAGCACGCCAACATGGCCTTGGCAGAACTACAGCCCTTTTTGGCACTGATTACAGACCAGGTTTGACATTTTTCTCGTAATATTTAAAGCCCAGGCTTCGGTCATAGATCAAGGCGAAAAAGGCGCTCGTGTTTGGTAACCTTCTCCCCAACAAGACTAACATGCAGCAGCTTTCACTCAGGATAAGCAAACCCAGCAAGTCCACTCCGAATCAATACCACACCAGAGCTGTTTGTTTCCTCTCTAGCTCAAACGGAGGCTGATAATTCTGACAGGTTCCCGGGCACCGTGGCTTCTGCAGGCTCTCTACAGTCAGACTGCTTTGCTGTAAATCACAAAATGCCATGTGCGCACACTGGCTTCATTGTGTACCCGTGCAAATGTACCGTTAGATAAGAGATCCTCACAAGTACACAGTGCAACCACTTTGGTTTAAAAAACAAAAAAAAAAACAAAAACAAAAACAAAAACAAAAAAACATAAAAATCTATGCAAATTGAGAAGTCAGCTTTCATGACATTGGAATAAACCACAAATTGTTCCTAAATAAATAAATTAATAAATATTATATCATCCATGTCAACATATTTTACTGCACTCTCTCTGTTTTGGATTTATTTGTATTTTATTTTTCCCCTGAGGTCCACTTAAGACATTTATTTTTGGTTTTGGTCATTCTTTGCTTTTACATGACCACTGTATAGCCTCTCTTTATCCCTTAAAATTCAACAGGCTGATTTTGCTACTGTACATTTAAGACCGATTTATCGCTGTTGTCGAGACAAAACCTCGTATCTCCATTTCTGTTGTTTTTCAGTTTTTGACAGAATTTGAAAATGCCCATTGTCTTTTACATTGTGTTTAAATTTCATGATGAAAGAACCAAAAGAAATGATGCAAAATGACTTGGAAAAAAGTCTGGTTCCACTGACCTACAATAAAAATAAAGAAGGTTTTTTTCCTTCTCCTGCAAAGTTATCATTTTGGAGATACAGTGTTTTGTTCCGACAACAGCAATATGTAAATGGTCTCAGTTCTAACTGGCTGTCCTGTACTGTGCCTCCTTCAAATAGCAGCGAGAGCTGAAACACCTTAAAACTTCAGTGTAAATGGGTGGGGCTAAACTGCTCTAAGCTGCATGCAAATATGTTGATTTCTGTGACATTACAAAATTTGCCTTTAATTGAAAACGGGGTGTTTTGCAACTTTGGTACACTGACATGGTTTACATATTATATCAAATGCTTATTTCAAAAACAGTGATGAAAATTTTGTGTCACATGATATTGGACCTTTAAGTCTCCCCCTCCTCCAAATACCATCATTCAGCCATGTTTCCCATCCAAGTTTTGCCGCAGTAGTCTCTAGAGTAACACCTTCTGATTTGAAGACTATATAAACCCCCCTCTGATGATGCATCTTGAAGGTGGGAAGGACTTTTGAAAAACTACAAAGCAATTTGAGGTAGACACCTGAGGGGGGCTGTTTGTTTTGTTTTGTTTGCACTAGCTGGCGAATTGTAAAGTAAGCCAGACAGCTCATGTTACCACTGAGTAGGCAAATATCACATCCACATTTATAGTCGTATGTAAAAGTTTGAACACCCCTGGTCAAATTACATGTACTGCTGATTATATACAAAACAATACATATAATTGTGAAAATTGGTTAAGACATCCTCTACAGAGAACACACTTAAATACGACATTTTCTCTGAAAACTTTAGTGCACAATTTCTGTTTATTTGCTGTGTTTAACATACTGGAAAAAGTAAATATAAAAAAATTAAAATGTCCCAGAACTTTTGCAAATGCCATTTGTTAAAACAGTGTCAGAAACAACTCAACACTGTTTGTGATCAGTGTGTGATATGCATTCTGCTACTCAGTGATCATGAGCTTCCATTACTTGTTAGAAACATCAGCCTCGTAGCTCCAGTGTAGAACTAAAGGAGCAAACTTCTGACATCAAAATGTTGTGGCTGATCGACTATTTGGGCTAAGAAGAAAATGTCTAACTTAAATAAGTCAAACTATCTCTTTAATTTGGATCATCTTCCTCTCTCTCACAAGGCCAACACAGGAGTAAACCTGACACCCCACGCCACTCAGACAGGATTAACAACATGTAAACATAATTAATTCTGTTTAATAACTGGTTGTTATGATGCAGGGATGAAAAGCTGACTGACGACGACAGGCCTGGTGTGTGACTATGACTCATGAGCAACAGGGATTAAGCTGCAGCGCTTGGGCAATAATCTACAATGGTCAACAATGAAAAGGTAGGTCCCTGTACTAGCACAACAGCAGACAGTCAACTGAAGCTCAAAATACAGTGAGCTTTCCCAGTGAGAAAACACTTCTATTAATGTTTGTAGAAAGATAAAATACAGACTGTATACATGCTTAATTTACAGCACCACCATTTTTACAGGTATTTTTTCTGAGGTTTTTTCTGAGATGCTTCTAAAAAGTGTACATTGACGAAAACCAACCACTACGACTATATCAAAGAATTATATTTGAGACTGAACCAAAACAGGGTGTTCTCCTTCTAAGTTGCGAGTGTGTCCACTAAAGATGAAACAATTCTACTTATTCTTTTATCAATACTGATACTGAAACCTTGAACACTGGCCAATACCAATACTGATCTAATCTTTTCTTTCTTTTATATAAAACTACTAAGTTTTAAAATGAGCTATGCACTTACGACAAGCACTGTTCTCAAATTACTCAATCACCCTCCTACTCCACAGAAAGAAATACACAGTTAACAACATCACACCACAAAATGTGAGCATGTTCTATTTCAAAACATTTATTACAGGATAGGTTTGAATTTCTTATACCCCCCTCCGATCCAGTATATATATTCCTGCTGCAGATATCAGCCCAATACTTTACGACGCCCCACCTTTTGCAAGCATTATGCCACAATACATAAGCAGGTCAAACACAAAGTTGGTTGGTATTTTTGTTCCATTTCAGACCCTGAAACTGTCATAAGCATTTTCATTACTAACACGCAGCCTTGATGTTCGAGAGAGAGAGACAGAGAGAGAGAGAGTCCCTTCTCATATCCAGCAGACTGCACTGATAACAACAATGTGTAAAATGTTTAACTACTCCATATGACAACCACGTTTTCCCCCCACACTTGGCTGCACTTGTTCCAGTTTGTCCAGATTTCAGCTGACGCGCCACACGCAAGTCCACACACAGTGCCAGAACTAGCACAAAAACCTGCAAAAAGCAAATGCAGAAAAATAAAATATCTACCACTCACCTTCTCTGCACAAACGCATGGCTTCTCGATTCTTCGCGCACTCTTTGAAACTTTCCTCTGAATCTGCACCTACACAGGAAAAAAAAAGAAAACGCGGTCAAAACTCTAGTAATCGAGTGGGACTGTTACAGAATTTATTTATTAATTTATTTGAAACTAACTGCCTTTTTAGATGGATAGATAGATAGATAGATAGATAGATAGATAGATAGATAGATAGATCGATAGATAGATAGATAGATAGATAGACAGATATTGTCATTGTTTAAAAGCAATTAAAACCCATTTAACAGCTTTGACAGCAAGGACATGAATAAAAAAGGAAAAGATAATTGGACTGATTATTAAAAAAGATGATTAATAAAGATTACTGGAGTGAAATAAATCCATTTGATCTGCCATTATAGAACACTCAGGCTGTGTCCACCTGTGTGTGCATATGAAAAACATGACGAGAGCAGAAAGAAAAGCAGCCCAATCCTACAATCACTTGTCCACTTTTTCAGCATCAAAGATACATTTGGGTTCATAAAAAGATGTTATTTTCAATGCAACTCCAATCAATACATTTGTATGGAAGAAAGAAATGCCACAGAATCTGTTCTGATCCATTTAAAGTGACAACATTTTGCATAGATATAAATGAGCATCGGAATTTTATAATAATGTAATTTTCATCCTTCTATTCACAATCAAATACAAAAATACAGCCTCATATGACCAAAAGACAAAATTCAATTTGATAAATTAAAGGGGAATTCCACCTACTTCTCAAAATTTCATTATAAATAAATCGAAACTGTGTAAACAAAGTCATTCGGAGGGGTTTGGTGTGAAATGTTATGTCCTAGAGAAACTTCGCAGGGGTGGTGATAGGAACCAGACATGAGAAGAGCTGAACACTTCTAAAAGCTACCTTAAAGAGAAGTTTTACAAGAAATGGTTACCTGGGATATTGTTTTCAACAGTTCTGAGAAAGTTTTTGACTAAAATGTAGTTTTAAAATACAAACCATCGCAGGGAGCTTTTAGGGCAAAACAGTCTCGAAATAATTTTAATTTTAAAATCATCATCATTATCATTCAGAAAGACACATCATGACCTCCGGTTCCTATCACCACCACTGTAAAGAAATCCTAGTTGATAAGATTCTCTACAATTAATTATCTCACAGCTCATCGCTTTACTTAGCTACATCTCAACAAGTGAATTATTCAGAAATTTTTATAAAACTGGTGGAATTCCCCTTTTACTGATTTAAAAATCACTTTTTTAAGACAAATATTTTTGATTGATTTGAAAAAGAAAATCGTTGTGCTTAAGCAAAAATTCAGATATGGGCATTAAAGGGTTAAAGAAAACACGTTTTCATGAGAGAATCGATTCTGAGGATCGGAGGTGTCGATACTCGAGTATCGATCCGCCCACCCTCAGCGTGTTGGCGTGTGCTGCGTGTGTTTTTTCCTCCACTCACCGTCGCCCCCGTGGAGTTTGACGGCGTCCGCCCAGCTGCTCCACGACTGGCCCGGCATGATCTGCGGGCTGGGGAGGGAGGCGGGCGCCATTGCTGTGGCTGCTTCTCCCCGCTGGAGCTGCTGCTGCTGGAGCTGCTGTCTGGCCGCTCTGCTCCGCTCCCCCCTCACCTCCTCATCGGCCCTGTCCGACATGCTTCCCGCTGGGACACAGAAACACACACATACACCCGCACTGAGAGAGAGAGAGAGAGGGAGGGAGGGAGAGAGAGAGAGAGAGAGAGAGAGCGACGGTTAATTTCAGCGCGCTTCGTGTTGCTTCGCTGAGGTAAAGAAGAAAAAAACACGAGGCTGAAGTCGCTTCTTATTCGCCAGCTTGTCGTTCGAATTTTCCCGTTCCACCTTAAATGGTGCAGCAGTTACACTTCGGCGCCTCGGGCATCAGAATGTAACTGCTGCACCATTTAAGGTGGAACGGGAAAATTCGAAAAAGAAACTGGCGAATATGAAACCAACTTCAGCACCATCTGTCCCCGCGACGCAGGTTTAAAAGCTCACAGCCAAAAAAAGTTTAAGGTGGAATGAAAAACTTCCGGGTAGTCGATTGCCAAGACTATTAGCACTGTTTGTTTCTCCCATTGTGAGGCACTGCTGCTCACAGGACTTCCTACAACAACAAACAGAACTACAGCTAGCTAGAACATTAACACACGCCAGAGAACGAGGCCAAAAACCAGTTCTAGCGTCACCCCACCGGCTGCCTGTTACCTTAGAGCTGACTGTAGAACTATGACTATTTTATAAACCCCTTAAAATGCTTTAGGACCCTCACACGTCTCTAAATGCCTAGAACTGCCAACTCGTGTCAGCGCTGGCCTCCACATGAAAAAGAGCCTTTCTGCTTTATGTGCTAAAGATCTGGAACACGTAATCTGGTTCTTCAAGGGTTCTTTAGTAAAGGGCAACTATGATGTCAAGATTGTAACAGTAGTAGAACCCTTTTTGATGCTATATAGAACCACGTTCCAAAAAAAAAAAAAAAAATTCTAAAGTCATATACAACACATTCTCCATCGAAGAACCATTTCATCATGCAAAGAACCATTTAAGCATGAAATGGTTCTGTGTAGAACGCATGGTTTAAAATAGAACCATTTCATGCTTAAATGGTTCTTTGCATGATGAAATGGTTCTTCGATGGAGAATGTGTTGTATATGACTTTAGATTTTTTTTTTTTTGGAACGTGGTTCTATATAGCACCAAAAAGGGTTCTTCTACTGTTAAAAGCTTGACATCATAACAACAGCTTAGTTAGATAGTAAAGTAAATAAATATGTTTTTAGTTGCTTTAAGTTGAGAGATAGAAGGAGCCTGACTGATATGTTATTGGTACACTGTTAAAAAAAAAAAAGATGGTTCTTCAAGGGTTCCTTAGTAAAGGGAATGGTTCTATTTACAACCATAAGTTTCAAGCTTAATTGGTTCTTTTGTTCTATATAGCACCAAAAAGGGTTCTGCTGTTGTTATAACATTATACTTGTAACAGTAGCAGAACCATTTGTGGTGCTACATAGAACTATATAGAACCAGGGTTCCATATACAACAATATATAACATTCTCCATCATTCTGAAGAACTATTTCACCATGCAACAAACCATTTAAGCATGAACCGGTTCTAAACAGAACACATCATTCTAAATAAAACCACATGACAAAGAGTCTTGTTTTTATGTGCTAAAGATCTGGAACACTTAATCTGGTTCTTCAAGGGTTCTTTAGTACAGGGCATGGTTCTATTTAGAACCATGAGTTCTACACAGAACCATTTCATGCTTAAGAAGTTCTTTGCATTATGAAATGGCTCTTCAGATTGGAGAATGTGTTGTATGTGGTTCTATATAGCACTGCTATTGTTATAAGCTTGGCATCGTAGCAACAGCAGAACTCTTTTTGGTGCTACAAATATCAAATGGTTCTATACAGAACTCATGGTTCTAAATAGAACCATTCCTTTGAAGAACAGTCTTTTTTTATGAGTGTACCAATAAAATATTCACCAGGCTCCTTCTGTCTCTGATTTTAAAACCATTATAAACGTATTTATTCAGTTTTAATAAAACTTGCTTTTATTACTTTCCCTACTTATATTGATACTGTACTGTTACACTACTGTACAGGTTGTGCTTTTCTTCTATTCACTTACACATTTATAATTGCTGTATTTCTTCTTTTCTGTCAGACTTTTATTTGTTGCATTTTTATTATTCTGCCTTTTTTACTTTCTAAGTCTTTGACTCCCTTCTGTTTCTTCCCGGTTTTTTTTAAACACTGCACTGAAAAGCATTTTGAGCTGTATTTTAAAGGAGAATTCTGCCAATTTCTCAAAATTCCAGCATAATTCAATAAATCACTGTTTGAGATGTAATGTAATTGAGTGATTTTCTGTAAAATGGTGCACCATAAAGAAATGTACTGACTCCGATTTCATTACAGTGGTAGTGATAGGAACCAGGAGTTGTGATAACATTTGTAGTCATTTCATTTACTGTCCGAAATGACCTGTGAACCTACACAAATGTTTCTATGTAATGTTAGTAACGATAAAATATTTGCTTCACAATGACCTACATGCACCTCTCAGCCATCAATGGAATTTAAAAAAGTCTGTTTTTAGGCCAAAAGCTTATCTCAGAACTATTATCAAACAACATCTCAGACATCAGGCAGCAAATTTGTAACCATTTCATGTGCTAGTGAGGTAATTTTCAACGCATTAAATGCTTCAGACATCTGGTTCCTATCACCGCCACTGCAAACAGTTCTGACTCAGTAAGTTTTTCTAGAGCAGAGCATTTTACGTCAAACCACTCTGAATGACTCATTATGTTGCTGTTGTTATTCAATAAAATTCCAAATCCATGGAAATCCCCCTTTATTCAATTCAAAGTCATTCCTGAAATATTTTATGAACATACAGTAAAATAACATGTAAGTGCAATGTAAAAGTGTTTGTAAACACTTTACGAACGTGTTGTAAAGTAACTTTAATCCAATATAGGCTACGGTATGCTTAATAAAGCAAGCTATAGACTAACTGTAATAAAATAACAATCGCTGTAGTCTGTAGAGTCTCTCCATGGTGTGGTGTGTATGGTGTGTTAGCCTGTCTGTCAGTGTGTATCCACAGGCTAGTCCTCAGAGACCAGAGACTAAACCTACATAACCGAAAACAGCTTAGAGGGGAATTCCACTGATTTTAAAAAGTTCCTGCAAAATTCATAGGTTGCAATGTAAAAGGCCTTTCAGAGTGGTTTGATGCGAAACGGTTCACTGTAGAGAAACGTACCTACTCACATTTCTTTACAGTGGTAGTGATAGGAACCAGGGAGCGTGATCGTCTGCAGCACAAATATAGCCATTTTATTCACATCCAAAACCACCAGTGAACATACATGTGCCAGTTTGCGCACATGCATGTACCTCTCTACCCTGCACGCATTTTAAAACTAGGTTTTAGGTCAAAAGCTTATCTCAAAACTATCAGAAAACAATGTCTGAGGCATCAGGCAGCGTATTTGTACTGCTGTAGCATAATAACTGTAAGTCGAGGCATCGGACACTCGAAGACGTCTGGTTCCCATCACTGCTGTTGTGAACAATTCTAAGTCTGTAAATTTCTCTAGAACAGAGCATTCTGCATCAAACCACGCTGCATGGCTTTACATCTTATGCAGAAATTTTGAAAAAATCATCTTTTCTACATGTCAGTCAGTACTGTAGCAAAAAAGTCTTGCCTATTACACATCGCTCCTGAGAGGCCCGCTGTTAGCTGTTGGCTAAAACAGACAATGAATTTATGTATGTAGTTAGAAACCATTGATTAGAATCCTCCCTAAAATTTCCTGTCCCACTGAAAACACACGTACACTTCATGGTCTCCACCCAGCGCACACCTGCAGCAGGCAAGCAAACCCTGTTAGATCTGTCAGATGAGAAGACACGTGATAAGCCGTCACCATTGTCATTAAACATGCTCAAAGTGATGTATGTCGTGCTTCTGGTAGAGACTGGCTAGCAGGCTTGCCTTTTTTCCTACCTTATCCTAAGGATTTTCTAATATTGTTACCCCCTCAATGGTGAGGGTAAATTCCTCCAAACTGACTCGCAGAGTCTGAACGAATGATGGGTTCTGCATGGAATCTTCTTTTATCCTAATCTTGAATCGCAGATCATTCTCATTCGAGGATCACTGTCCAACAGTGCAATTCAGATGAAGATTAACTTTCATGTGTACCCGGAATGCCACTTCTCCGAACGCATTCAAGTTCATCCTTGAAAAAGGTCAAAAGCAACTCAAAAAAATGGAGCGAACACATACTGCATAACAGAGCACATGCAGTTACATAATACATATGCGCAGAAAAATGTATTTATTCAGATCATGATACTGATCTGCACTGTGTTATGAATAAATCTCTTTATTCCAGACTTCACTTACAGTGTGTGAGACTGACACACTTTCAAAGAGGAAAGAACAGCTTCATTTGCAAAGATGGAAATACTGGAAACAGTCAAGGCACATGAAAAATAAGAAAAACTTTGAAGTGAATTTTGTGCACTTAAAGTATTTGTCTTGTTAAAGCTATTAGACTTGTAATATACATTTATTATTTTAAAATACCTTACCCTTTACTTTCATATAGAGGTCGGCAATAGGACGGCATTCACTAGTACTGCGATATATGAGATCACGTTGAGTGGATTTAATGCAGTGCGGTATGTTCTTTTAGCCTGTTCCAACTTATCAAATTTAGAAAAAATATATATTGTGATGCACATCTTGTATCATGAAAATGTCTTGAAGTATCATGATTTTATCATTTCTGCCATATCGCCCATCCCTACAGACTTTTATGGGTGCATTTGACAGATGTAGATTAGCTCTGGTTTAGCTCTAGAGTTTGAAGAGTGACGGCAGAACTACTTCACAGTTTTGCGTTTTTCCTTTTTTTCACTCATCTGAACCAAATCCTTAGCTAAATATCAAGTTAAATCAGATGTGTTGGAGCAAGGCAAGGCATTCTAATAACTGAGCAGTTCACAACTGTGTGTCTTTACACTGCTCTAGACTAAAAAGATTTTTCAGTGCAAAATCCTCATTAACAGTTAAATTAATTTTAAATCTATAGGTAGCATGTATCCCGGACAAAAATCCCAAAAATGTAACTACAGCTCTTTTTTAGGTGCATAAAAAACATTCAGAAGAATCTCCATCTTTTACACTTACACTAATTCAATTTGAGTGCAGATCAGTATAAAATAGGATGTGTCCAATAAAACTTATAAACATATGTTCACATTAGGAGGAAATAAGTTGTTTCAAGTGTGTCTCTTTGCTTGGGATTGTTCAAGGCCGCTGTTTTTGTCACCTGCTCATAGTCTGATAAGAAAATATACACAGTTTACAGTTTTGCTTAAAATATAAACTGCACTTATAAGTTTACAAATTTGTAAGTTTCTCATCAATTATAGGAACACTATTATAGAAATGGGGAATAGGAATGAAATGTCAGTATGTCATAATTCAGCACATTATAATTAATTTGAAATGATACGATACTGAGAAAATCGCAGTTCTATCTGTCACTTGTCACTAAATTGCAGCTGCAAACTGCCCAATTCCATAGAAAATGACTGGTCACCTGTCGCTGTCACCTGCTAATGTGACCGCAGGGTAAGAACGTCAATCAATTTTTGCCTTTTCATAGACTTAATGCTAGCCTGTAAAGCCGTTTATGTCAATGATCTGTAATTACTTCTTGTAGATTCTTACCTTACAATAGAAACTAGACTTCATGTTAAATGGTTTGTGAGCAAATTCTACCTCTGTTTAGTGTTTCTAATGTTTTGGTAGTGAGAAATGTAAAGATGGACAATATACTGCATACTATTATATTGTGTCTTAGACTTTAATATACATTTACTTAAGGTCAAGACGAATCAAAAAAGTCAACACAATTGGATGGAAGACCATGGAAAACAAGAATTTTGTCTTTTAAATTACATGAGATGATGAACTAAAGTAATACAACTAAGTGCTAGGCCTGGGCGATAGGGCGATGTAATTGGATATCGTCGATGACAGACAAGCAACCCGACGGCAATGCGTAAAAGGAGATCATCGCCATTTTGGTAAAAGAACTGAGAGACTAATTTACCATTAAACAGCTTGGAAAATACATTGGGAATGTTTAAGAAATGTGCAGGCTCTCGCACCAGAGAGAGAGCGAGGAGTCTGTTAAGAAGCTGTCTGTGTTATTTGTCTCTGCTAGGCGCTGTAACGCTAGCATTACCGCATGGATTCCCCTTAATGTTCTTTACTTGAATGGAATCAAAAATAAATGCCTCAAGGTGACAAAACGAGCTAAAATGACTGAAAGTTAGCGCAGAGCAGCTAAGTTAACTCTAACCTGGAGAGTTCCTCTGATCCTCCTCTACGACCAGTGTGCAGTATTTTCCGTACAGCTTAAGTGGTCCGGTGGTTAGCTGAATTATAAAAACGCCGCTGTAAAGACGGAAAACACCTTTTTTTTTTAACGTGGAAAGCATGTGGGCACAGCTTTGGAAGTCACTTGCAGTCTGAAGTTTCTCCAGCAGGGAGCGCTATTAGCATGCAAGTTGCTGTGAATCTGCACCAGAAGAAGCTCAGGAACACGCAGGTTTGTTTGCAACAACACTTATATAATGTTAGCTGAAGTAGTTCTCAAATGATGCTGGGCTACTCAGTATCATATTTAATATGTAAGTTTAATTAGATTTTTAATTAAACAATCAATATTTAAAAGGCATACAGACGAAAACAGAACAGAAAGTAGGTCAAAGCTGCCTCAGACCACTTTTTTAGAGGGGGGATGGGCAATATTATATTTAGAAATATTGTAGAAAATATTGTCCTAATTATTTGTAGATATTGCCCAGGCATTATTAGGTACATCAACTAACAAAGTTTGAAAGGTCCATTTTGATTTCAGCCTGACTTCAAGCAAAGTATTTTTTTAGAAGTACCAGCTGTCTGGTTAGCTCCACTAGTCAACCAGAGAAAAGGAAAAAAAAAAACAAAACACTATACTATACACCAAACTCTCATGTCTATTAAAGCCTCAATAACAAGACAGAATGCCTACCTCCATTAAACTATTCTGATAGCAGAGGATTTGGTCTGAGTTTACTACGCAAAGTATGATTGTGGCACTAAATATCAAATCTACCTAAAAACTGCTATGAATGCCAAGTGAGGTTAAGTTTATATGTAAAGAGAGCAATGTTCGCCTATGCAACCAATGCACATTAACAAAAGGGAAATGGAAAAACAAACTCCTCAATAAATAATGAGTACGACGGAATCACAAAGTGAACAAATCAAAACTCATTGTGATAACAGCATAATAACAATGGTGCAGCAGTGATCGCTGATGAAAATGTGTGCTCAAGTTGTACTGATACTCGTAAATAAAACTTTGCTTCTCCTTTTAACTAAGGTCAAACTCAGTTCAGAGGAAGGAGTGTATTAATAAAATGATGTTTTAAAGGACTATTTCAATGAAAATTGACACAGTTTTGCCCATTGCCAAGAAACGTTTACCATCTTACGTTTGCCTATTTAGTTTTGCCGAGCTGAGTTTTAGTAACAGATGTCTTAAAGCGTGAATTGTGTCCATAAAGTATGTTATACAGTATTAAAAGCCACATCAGAAAGTCTATTTCAGATCAACTCAGCTCAATTTGGCTTGAAGTGTGTGATGATTAAGCCTTCAGTTAAACTGGTGTGATATTAGCTTCCATTGCTTGGTAGCTACATTAGACTCATAGTGTAGTGGGTACTATCGCTGCCCTGCCCAGGTGAGCACACTACTCTATACGAATAAGAGCCCTTGAGCAAGACTCCTAAAGCTACATTTGCCTCTGTAACATGATCACATTGTAAGTCACTTTGAATAAGAGCATCTGCCAAATACATAAACATAAATGTATAAAACCTCAAACAAGCCTTGGCTGAAACACTACATCAGGGAATTTATATACATTTGTTCTTTCAGCGATTTACTTTTTTTAATTCAGTGACAATTCAATGATTAATTCAATGACAATTACTGTAACTTGATATAAAGCACTTTGAGTGTTTCCATATATGGTGTATAATATTGCTTTGTACAGTACTGCATTACTATATAGTAATATGTGCAGAGGTTCTGGGGAATTCTGCACCATTCAGGTGCTCATCTTTCTATGGTCTGTAAAATTTTGAACACCCCTGGTCAAATGACAAGCGTTGATCTTGTAAGTGAAAATAAGTTAACACATCCTCCTTTAACATCATCCTTTAATTCACAATTACTGTTTATCTGTTGTATTTAACAATAAAAAAAATCAAAATAACAAAATGTGGCCCATGCAAAGTTATAGCACATTGTATATTGTGTATGTTACACTAAATTTGTTAAAATAAAATAAATTATGCACTTAAATTTGCAAGAAAATGTCATATTTAAGCTTGCTCCCTATAGAGGTTGTGCTAACTTATCTTCACTTGGAAAATCAACAAAGCATGCATTTTGACCAGGTTACCTTTTGCATACGACTGTATCTACACAGCTCTCTCTCTCTAATATATATGCCTTTTATTATGCTTTACTGCTTTGTGCTTATTTTATTTACTTCTATTATCTTGTCTTGTATTGTACTGTACTGTACTGTAATGTATGGCATGGACACTAGTGTGGTTGCCTGCGATGTGAAAGCCTGGTGTTACAAAAAGCACCTGATTCTGAGTGAGGTACACCAAACATCTCATACCTAGTCAAAAGTGAAAACTGGAACTCAGCTGCACAAATCAGCAGATCCTCATCAGCTTTGGCGATTCCGTTTGGCCACACGCGCTGAACACAGGACCTGCCGGCGAGACAGCAGAAGCAGAGGGAGAAAGTTGATAGTATTGTTTTCATAGCCTAGCGTGCAATAATCACCGTTTAGGGAGTTAGCTGCACGTCTGTCTGAGGGAGATGCTTCTCGGCCCGAGGCCAAGTGAATCTGGTTGTGGCTTTCTGGTCTCCAGTCTTCACCCTGGTACATGAGCTACTTATGGAGCAACCCGTCGCTGCAGAGTAATCCAATCCACTAAGCACTATCCCTGGTTAACCACCTGAGAGCTCTGCAGTTGGCAGCCGGTTAATCCCTCACAGAGATAAAAAGCAGCTCTGAAAACTATTTGGCCTTTTAGCGCGTTTTAAGCTTTAGCTATATAACAATGCAGGTAAGATGAATAGCAAAGGCAGCCTGTATCGCAGAACGAGCCAATACTGCAAATAAAGCAAATGACCATGTTGTGATAAAAATCCATCACATCAAAATAGTGCAGCTTTGGACATGCCAAAAGGGGAATTCCACCAATTTTTAAAAAAGTCTGCATAGTTCAATCGTTATGTAAACAAAGTCATTCCGAGTGGCTTAATGTGAAACGGTTCATTGTAGAGAAATGAACTGACTCAGATTTCTTTACAGTGGCGGTGATAGGAACCAGGGGTCTACAAAGCAAACATAGCCATTTTATTTACTGTCAAAATGACCAGTGAACCTACACATCACTACTGTCGGAAGAAAACCTCGTATCTCCAAAATGGTAACTTTACAGGAGAAGGAAAAAACCTACTTTACTTGCAATGTAAGTCAATGGAACCAGACTTTTTTCCAAGTCTTTTGGGTCATTTCTTTTAGTCTATTCATCATGAAAATAACATACAATGTAAAGAACAACATGTATTTTCTAATTAGGCCAAAACTGAAAAAATGTCCAAAATGGAGATATGAGGTCTTCTTCCAACAACAGCGATATGTAAAAGTCCTCTAAGTGTTTATATGTAATGTTGATGATCATATATTTGAAAAATACTAGTTTGCTTTAGAACACCCTGCATGTACCTTTCCACCATAAATAGATTTTATAAAAACATGTTTCAGGCCAAAACCTTCTAAAAACTATCATAAAACAATGTCTCAGGCATCAGGCAGCGAATTCATAACTACTAAGTAATAACTTTTTATGAAGGAGCTTCTAGAGGCATTAAACTCTTCAGATGTCATATTCTTAGCACCACCACTGTAAACAATTCTCTAGTAAAGCGCATTTCATATCAACTACCCTGAATGCTCTGAATTACTTTGTTTAGAAAATGTAGAAAAAAACGATAAAATTCCCATGTAAAGATCACTATTCTGCGTCGAAAGCTCTGACATCCTAATTTATAGTTCAAGTCTGACATTATCACAAGCTGTGGAAATGCCATTTATATAAATAGTGATGCAGTGTTGTGGTTATTCAGTGTGACTGTAGGCCTGCAGTTTGTGTAACTGGCGAGGGAGGAGGAATTTCCCCACGAGGGTGCTGGTATGAAGCTTCTCATCGAAGCTTCTGATGAACTTTCTTTCTTTGTGGTCACAAAGTTTTCTCAGGAAGTGGAAGGAAATATCACGTCGCTAATGCCTTCTTAGAAAAGACCCGACTGTAAGACTAAGTGTTCAATTTTGGCTCAAGTCTGTCACATAATGCACGTTAACAAAACTGGATACACTTTTTGTAACTACTAAAGAAATGTTTTCTAATTCTGACCTACAGAAAGTCAGTGAGTAAAAACGCTCTTTTGACAATTAAATCACTTTGAAGCGGCTGATATAGATCGTTACATAAGATTGAAATTTAGTGCAGTGCATCTAAAATATGAAAACAAGCCACGATGAAATTACTTTTATTCTATGTAAGATTTTTAGCAAATATGCATAAATGGACATATTAAAGATTACATACATTTAGGATGATCAAGAGGCACCGCTGTTAAAATCTTGTTTTTGTATATTGTGGCTACACCTCCTAAAACCCCTTCAAAGTCTGTGAACATTATAAAAGATTACAGGGCCTGACCCAGACGCCCACATTTTGAACTCAAAGACCTAAAGCATGAAGGACTACTGGCTTTTCTCAGACTCTAAATGGACAAAATTCAACAAAACCCAAAATCTTTCCAAAGCTTTCTTCACAAAGCGACTACATTCCTATATTCATAATCATAAAAAAATAGACATGTGGTTTCATCTTATGACGCAACATAAATTAGGTCTACACAACAAAATGTAAAGCTGCTCAGCAAATGTGAAGTGGTCAAGTAAGGCCACCTTAATTTAATACTATTAAAAATTTAATGAGCTGGATGACTGAAAACCTTCCTGGCAGTTAAGGGTTAATATTTGCATTGAGCTCTGACCCAGCACATGACGTTTGAAATATTAAGACCATAGTTTTGGCAGGCTTCCTATAATTCCATGTTCTTTGGTTTTACAAGTCTGTGCTGACAATGAATTAAAACATTGCCATTATAGTATATAATCTTCCATGATAATGAGCCACTGAAACTGCATTTTAAATGCAAGGGCAGTGTCCCACTTTATCTCTCCAACTATCCCATTCAGAAAGCTGAAAGGCGTCCAATCCTCTTTAAGCAAACGCAGCACTTGGTGGGAAAATAGCTATTAACATATTTCAGCATAGAAATGTGGATAAGCCACAATTCAAATGGCTCTAATATCAGGTGAGCGGTCTGTTTTACATGAATCCACTCTTACCACCGTACAACTCAACGCTCCTCGATGATTAAAAGCCTTCAGAGACATGAAGGGTTCGTAACTGCAATGACTCAGTCGATAATTGGCACCTTCACTTCTAGTTCTTAAAAAAGCAAAACTACCTCACCAAATATTTGGATTTTATGAAACATGATGAGGTTTTTTTTGCCTTCTGCAAGAGGCTGTTACTAATCAGTGGACTTGCTGGATGATCTTGAAGATAATAACAAACTGCACAACCAATTTTAAGATTATAAGACAAGTCCAGCTGCCTGGATTTATATTAACAGGCAATTTATTAACCAAGATGACTGAAGACCTTAACAGAAAGTGCGGACAACAATGCAAATTTCAACAAACGACTATCAACTTACTATCAACTGATGCTATTGTGATGCAAATTCTGTTACAAAGTACCACATGTGACTGTTACAGAGCCTCAGCCTATAGCATGATACTTAATATTTAATTAATTACATAATAACCGTATAATTACCACAGGGGTTGGTTTTTACTATTACTTAATCATTTACAATGAAGACAGACATTAAAATCCAGTGGTTCTTTATGTCCATTGAGAATGAAAGAATAATAGTTGGCATAATATCAGCACTTATTTAAATGATCGCACTATCCGACCGCATCAATTATCGGCCTATGGTTACTTCACAGACTGCACTTAACTGACAGGTCGACAACTTACAACAGTCTCACTTTCAATTCTGGGAGTAATCTCATGAAACATCTGCACACTTATTTCCTAGAAAAGTTTTTGGGTTAAAAGTCAAGGCGAGTGGACTTTCAGATTTAAGATTATTCCACACACAGCATAACAAGCTTTAGGATTATGGCGAAAGTCAATTTACCTTCATTTACTACTATCAGGACTTTCACACTGACAGCTCAAAAACCCTCACTTGGAGTAAATTCACAACAAAAGTTCTGCCGGTTCTGACGTGTCAGCAACTTACAAAGTTTCACTTCCAACTCACTGAAGCTCCGACTCATCTCACGCAACATTTGCATAGTTGTTTGCTAAAAAATTTCAAAACGTGAGGGTTTTTTTTTGGCCCACGGAATTGAAGACTATCCCAAGAACTGCACTGCAAATTTAAAGACTAGAACAGAAACGCACTCGCCTTACTTATTATTACTGCACTATACTCTCAAAAAGATTCCTCAGGGGTTCTTTAGTGAAGGGAACGGATCTATTTAAACCGTTTCATGCTTAAATGGTTCTTTGCATGGTGAAATCGTTCTTCAGATTGATGGAGAATGTGCTGTGTGTGGTTTTAGTTAAATGGTTCTATATAGCACCAAAAAGGGTTCTTCTACTGTTATAAGCTTGACACTGTAACAACAGCTTAGTTAGATACTAAAGTAAATAAATACAGCTTTAGTTGCTTTAAAATTTAGAGACAGAAGGACTGATATGTTACTGGTAGACCCTAAAAAAAGGTGGTTCTTCAGGGGTTCTTTAGTAAAGGGAACGTCTCTATCTGGAACAATTTCATGCTTAAATGGTTCTTTGCATAGTGGAATGGTTCTCCAGACTGATGGAGAATGTGTTGTATATGGTTTTAGATAAAATCTTTTTGAAAAAATGGTTCTATATAGCACCAAAAGGGTTCTTCTACCGTTACAAGCTTGACATCGTTCAAATGGTTCATGCTTAAATGGTTCTTTGGTTCTATACACCGCTAAAAAGTCTTCTGCTGTTACAACAATGTCGAGCTTGTAGCAGTAGCAGAACCATTTCTGGTGCAAAACAGAACCATTCTCAAAAAGGTTCTGTATACAACCATACACAACATCCTCCATCAATCTGAGGAACTATTTCACCGTGCAGAGAACCTTTTAAGCATGAAATTGGTCTAAACAGAACTCGTGATTCTAAATAGAACCGCTGCCTTTACTAAAGAGCCATTTTAAGAGTGTATATTTACAACAACTCGACCTAAAAAAACTTCACAGACGTCGAGTTATTTGCAGTGAAACTGACAGTGACAGTTCATAAGTCGACTTACACAGTTTCACTTCCAACTCTGAGAGCCTCAGTCGTCTCACGGTCGTTTGCATAGCTATTCGCTAAAAACACAGAAAAAAAAATCAAACTGTGTTGAGTTATTTTTCCCTCTGTCAGGCGACCGTTACTCCTCCATTCACTGCCAGTGCTGCTGCTCACTTGTTCTGCGCCGTGCTGGTTGCTGGCTCCTTCAGCTGAACAAGTGCACTTTGCAGAGAGTGAAAGCAGGAAAAAAGGAGGCGAAACTGGCACAAAAACAAGAAAGTATAATCAAGTAAAAGAGTTTCTGACAGCATGACTGAGCCTAGGGGATTCGTCAGGGAGCAAAAAGCGCGAATTAAAGTTGGTGGAGAATTACGTCACCAAAATAAAATGTTAGTGACATTCAGAGAGAGGAGGGAGGGAAGGGGGGGGAAGGAGGAGGAGGAGGGGGGCGGCGGTAGCAGCAAGTTAGCTTCGGCTGCTAACAGCTGCAGCCATTTGGAGCAGAAAAACCCCGAACAGCCATTAGCAGCTAACAGCGCTCTCCTCTTTTGTTCCCTTACCTTTCCGTCCTCCGGCTCCGAGGGGAGAAGGGGCTCCGCAACCGAAGGAATACGCTCGCTTCTGGGCGCGCTGGAGACGAAGACGGGGCTCGGGAACTAAAGTAAAAGAAGGGGGAGCGAACGCGGTGCTCAGTGACTGTGGAGGTCTCCACCAGGTGCGTCCATGTCTGTTTACCACGCAGCATTCTGGGACGAGCGCGTCACCGCGGCGGCCCGCGCGCGCATGCGCTCGCTCTCGCGCCGCCCGCTCGCTCGCACGTCCCTGTTGCTGCGCGACGCTCTCGGCTTCTTATTCGCCGCCTTCTTGTTCGAATTCACACCTTCCACCTTAAAACGTTGAAGCGCTTACCTGAGGCGCTGGACTGCAACCGCTGCGCCATTTAAGGTGGAACGGGAAAATTAGAACAGATGGCGAGCAGGAAACTAAATTCAGCTTCGTGTCTGTTAGTATGTGTGGCAAATTTCTCCTCGATCAAACCCGTGTTTTGATCCGGAGTTGTGATTTTTACAGTCAGAGAATGTGGAGAGAAGAGAACTGTCACTAATATCTTCCGGGTGTGTCGGACGCTAGAGGGCGCTCCCGAGCGAGTCCAAAATGAATGGGTCAATATGGAGCATTCGAGCAAAATCATAGTTTTTAAACGCTTAAACGTTTATTACGTAGAAGAATGTATTCGTTTCCTCATCACAGAGCAGCCGAAGACATTTTAACACCGCTGTTATATTTTGAGCGCGTTTGAACTCCAGTTATAGATTTATAACGGCGCCTCATGTACGTTCATGACGTCAGTCAGCTTCATTCAGCCAATGAGCTGCTCCGCTCGCCAGCCAATCAGCACCCGTAGCAGTAATTCCAACCAATCAGCACTCAGTAGCAGCAATGCTAGTGTCCTGCTGCCCAAAAGCTGTTTGCTTTAGAAAAATAGAAACATGCAGGTAGGTTTTCTTTACTTTTTTAGTGAAACACACCCCCATACGTCCCGAAATTAAAAGAAGGTCCTGGACAAGTGGTTATAAAGTATTTTAACTTTTCATTTTTAGCCGTTTAGCTCCATTCACCCCTATCCATTGAGGACTCCCTCGTGGGCGCCCTCTGGCGTTGTGCAGTCACGTTTTTGATATAACTGGAGAAAAGGGAGGCAGCAAAGCTCCCCTAAAACCAAACACTGAAATCAGAAAATGTGTATTTATTTCTAAAATTCTAACAACCATCTTTTCTTACCTGTCACTGCACCTCTGAGTCATCATCTCCGTGGACAATCTACACCTCATCCACATCTCATCAGACTCGCTCTGATCTTCTGCACTTTCAATCTAGCAAATCTGTACACATATATAGATTGACATCTTGTACATCTTTTATCCGTATCTTGTATAATCTGGAAGATTATTGTGTACCTGCATCTCATTTATTCATCTACCTCAGACTAACTGCACATACGAAATGTGTACAACCGCACATTTCATAGTTTTATTTCATAACTTATTACTGAACAACTGTACATTGGAATAGTGCAATACTAGTGTATATTATGTATATGTGTATATTCAGAGTCGGTGTATATATATTTCTTTTTTCTTCTTTTTATCTTTTTTTCTTTATATATATATATATATATATATATATATATATATATATATATATATATATATATATATATATATATGTATAATGCTACGCACTTAAGATTTTCACTCACTTTCCACCTGTGTAAATGTGATGTGACAATAAACGTGATTTGATTTTGATTTGCTAGTAAGATCATTTCCCTCAAATGCGACGATCAGTTATGGTGTGAAAGTTCATTTTGAGAAAAAAGGCTCTCCTTAATCCGGCTCTGCTTTACAGAAGCACGTTTGTGCTCTACAGCGCGGATATGTGGGTCCACGCGTTCGGTGATGAATGAGTTCGAGGGGCGCTGTTTCCCCGCATCCTCATTTTGCCCCCTCTTGTGAGAGCGTCGATAAAGTTTTGGTGAAACGTCACTGACTGCATACAGCACAGGACAAATGGGCAGCATAACCGATGGTGAGATGATGTTTTCTGACTGTTATTTCAGCATTTTCATTCGTATATTTGAACAGATTATGGTCGCAGCTGTAAACGCGGGTGTGTGTTTGAGTACAGCGCTTTTAAAAGCGGTTTAAAACGCTGCGGTAGCTGTAACAGCCTGCCGGTTAGCTAGCTAACGTTAGCCGTTAGCATACTCGCTAGTCTAGATTTCAATAAAGGAGCTGTAATGTTTTATTTTAAAAGCTCAGACTGACTCTAGATTTTGCTCAGCTAATGACACACAATACAAAATATATACTTTCAAAAGTATTTTCTGTTATCTTTAGCTTCTAACTGACTAGGTTAGCTAGCTAACGGTGATCTTCAGAGTGAATCTGTCTTTATTACGTTGCTAACTAACGTTAAAGCTAACCTTACTTATGGAAACTAAGGATAACAATGTACAAAATGTATAACGTTAAATCGTTTTTCACTTGAGAGATTGCAAAATCAGAATTGCACTCCGTCAGTTTAGAGCTCTGTTTATAGTTGGATAGCTAGACAGATAGATAACTAGACAGATAGATAGATATATAGATAGATAACTACATAGATATATAGATAGATAACTAGATAGAGAGATAGTTTATTGATCCCGAAGGAAATTTAGCAGCCAGTAGCAGTCACACAACACAGGACAGTAATAATAATAATAATAATAAGCTAGTACATCATGTGCTTATGTTGAGTTCTGCACATCATTCAAATCAATGCAGTTCAATCTTGTTGTTATTGTACGTATACGGGGTTATAGGCTACTTCTCTGGTGCATAAACATTCAGACAATCACATGAGTGCTCATGTATTAGTGGGATGTATACGCACAATACATAAAGAGACAATAAATACAGAATAAACTGACAGAAGTGCACTGGTGCATAGACAAAGCACTCATTTCTGAGCATGAGGTAGGGTTGTTAGATAATCTGTGCACCTTATTTCACAACCCTACCTCATGCTCAGAAACGAGTGCTGTGTCGGTGCTGTACTGTCCTGTCTGTTTACTGTGTCTAATATCTGTTTTATGTATCGTATTTATTGTATCGTTTCTAATCTAATTCTTTTTGCACACTTACGTCTGCACGTTGCACTTTGTACTGTCTATTTTGTTCCATGTTGCACGTTGTTCCTTGGAGGAACGTAATTTCACTCCACTGTGTACTTTTACATAGATAGAATGACAATAAAAGCTTCTTGACTTGACAGTGTGTATATGTAAGTGCAAAATACGTGCAGCAGTTTTTCAGAGGTAGTTTTAGTAGACAATGCTATGAATGTTAGTTCAAGTGTTCAGTCCAAGTATGCGTGAAGTCAGCCTGTAGTTCGGCGTAACATTTAAAGTGCAGTGTGCATATAGTTTGTGTAGCATTTGAATGAATGAATTGCTGTTTGCTGTAGGTGTGAAGAGTTTAACAGATCGTGGGTAGAAACTTGGTGGTTCTGGCTTGAATGTTCTAATATATCTTCCCAGATGGCAGCGGGTGGGTGGGGTCTGAGGTGATACTGCTGGCTTTCCTTAGACATCTTTTATCGTAAATGATGAGATCATAGGATATTTTATAATCTTAAAGGGACACGACGGCCAAAATAAAAAATCTAAACGTTGCTGCGTCTCTTGTAAACATGCCTATAGTTTAAGTCTCTAGAGCAGTATTTTCTGGTTTAAAGACTTGGAAAAACCTACCACTGACGTGGTATGTTGAAGGTGTGAGGAACTTTGAAAAGGCATGACTACTTTGGGGTGGATTTTGTGGGAATTTTATAATGTTATTTTTTTTATTCAATGGTAAACACAGAAGGAAGCCAGTTTGCTGGCATTACTGCCAGGAAGGTCAATATCTTATTGCGGCCATGTAACAGTGGTCTTAAATCATAACTACAGTGGAAAAATGGATTACTTAAGTGATAGAAATGGCAGATGAGAAGGATAACAAGCTAAAAGCCAAAGTTAGCAAAGTGGGTTAACTCTCTGGCCTTTTAGAGCTGAATAAAGATAGAGTTTCCATTTTCATTTTATAGTCTAATGAATTTACATGAATTAATGAACCAAATATAAGGCCAGTGTTAGCTTGGGTGTGATCATTAGCCTACAAGTCAGTGGCTAGGCTTTGACAATTTCTGCATAGATCAGTGATTGAGATATAAAGAAAGTCATCCAGATTGGTTTGATGTGAAATGGTTCATTTGTAGAGAAACATACTCACTCAGGTTTCCTTACAGGAGCCAGCGGTCATGATGTCTACAATGCAAATATGCATTTACTATCCAAAACCACTAATGAAACTACATATGTCTTCTGTGTTTTTATGTGTAATGTCTTTGATGGTAGAATAGTGGAAAATCTGGGGAAAAAAAGTTTTCTTTAGGGACTATTTTGCCTCACAACACCCTGCATGTATCCTTTCACCAAGAATAGAATAAAATAAATTGATTAAAATACATTTTAGACCAAAACTTTATTACAAAACTATTACAAAACTAACATGAAACAACATATCAGGCAGTGTATTCATAACCATTTCATGCAGTAACTTTCTGTGAGGGAGCTTTTAGAGGGATTAAGCTCTTCAGATGTCTGGTTCCTATCACAACCACTGTAAACATTTCTGACTGGCGAGTTTCTCTAGAACAGAGCATTTCACATCAAACCACTCAGAGTGACTTTGCTGATATGTGATCCATTTAGTCATGCAGAAATTTCGAGAAATTGGTCGAGATCCCCTTTAAATTAATCCTGCAACAAATGTGGATTAGTCATGAACAGAATTTTGATTAACTTACATAAACTACTGTGAATGTTTTTCCCCAGATGAGGTCATTCGCAAGCGCCTTCTTATTGATGGAGATGGAGCTGGAGATGACCGGCGCATCAACGTGCTCCTGAAAAGCTTCATCAAATGGTGCCATTCAAACGTGACACCAGAGGAAGGGTAATTTGATCTGTGATATAATTGGGTTTGAGCTAATCTGTGGCCAAACTTAAAGTAGTATTTTCCACCTTGGGATGCCATCGTCGGATTGTACAGCATCCTATGAGTCTACGCCAAGGCCTCACCTGCTCAGGTGTCTTGTCCTCCCTCCTACAGGTTTGCGCAGTACCAGAGGATGCTGGGCATCTTGACACAGTGCGAGTTCTCAATGGGAAAGACGTTGCTGGTGTACGACATGAACCTGAAGGAGATGGAGAACTACGAAAAAATTTACACAGACATTGGTGAGGCTTTTAATGAGTAGTCAGAGAGGCTGTGTGGTATCTAGTGGTTTGAAGTGCATGCATGTTGTTGGACATGACCACGGAACATCTCTTTCCTCAACAGAGCAAAGTATATCATCGGCACATGAGAAAATAGCAGAGTGCAAGAAGGAAATCCAGAGGGCAAAGAGGATACGAAAGAACCGACAAGGTAAGATCAGCTGAGACTATTTCTGTCGTAGTTAATCAATTAAAAATCGTTAATTAAAAATATTCTTTCTTGTTGAATCGACAGTGATTAGTTGGTATTTGAATGGTGATCATGCTTATACAGTAAGAAGCAGCCTAATAGACACCCACACTGTGTTTTCACATATAATTGCTATTGGAACAAAACTTTATATCTTCATAAAAGTGACTTATGAGAGAAGCAAAAACATTCTAAACTTTTGATGCAAGTTAATGTAACTAGCTCAACTTAGTTTAACTAGAAATCATTCTGGACCATTTTTATTGGTCCATTTGTAATGAAATTTTGACACGGCGTAAATGGCAGCTGATATTTACTAGTTGTGTAAAAAAAGTGTAATTTTGTTTGCCATAACCATCTACTTGGGTTTCTTAAGCAAATGCAATGTCCTTTGCTTTGTCATTAGTGAGGGCGTATACAGCCAAAGATCAACATCACTGCATTAAATCAAACAAATTTCTGTCATCTTACATGTTTCAGTGTTCAGAATTGTGCAGATAGGGCAATACATGTTGGCTTGATTTAGACCACAGAGAATACAAGAAAATGCTTCTTGAGCGCCTCTATACTTAAGAAAAAATGCAAAAGTGTCTTTATTATGGAATATTTACTGACATGGGATATCTTTGAATTTGATCTGTGTCATTTTCTTATACGATTCTAAATTGACACTTATAATTTATTGTATTACTGTTAAGCTTTATCACATGTAAAGCACTTTGAGCTGCCACTGTGTTATTATGGTAATACACAAGGTATTGACATAATCATGGGGGTGTTTCTACAGATTATTTTATAGTAGACAGAAGCTGCCAGAATCTTTATTGACACTAGTAGTAATTATATTACTTCACCTCCCCATGTAAAATTAATCCCAGCCAAGTAGTACTTTGGTTTATCCTTTTTTCCAATGATGTATTTCGGAATCTTTGATGGGCTGAACATGGTTTACCGTCAAGACCATTTTTCAAAGTCTTTATTTAAGAACTCTGAATATTTCATAGTGACAGCCCACCCAACTCAAGGCATCAGTGTTTGTGGGTCATTGGCTCAAATGTTTTTATAGTAAAATACAAAAAGATACAAACGTTGGTTTTTGTTTTTTTTTAATGTCTTCACTTTAGAGTATGACGCATTGGCAAAGGTCATCCAGCAGCATCCAGACAGACACGAAACAATGAAGTAAGTATAAGTTTTGGTCCATTCTTAAGTCAGTGACAAGCCCGTACCAGGAGTGGGAAAAATGAAGAATTAAAACAAGAATTAAAGAGTTGAAACATGAATAATGCTGCATCCGTGCTAAAAACAAGGGAACACGGTGCATTGAAATGAACGTGCATGAACGTAAATCTAATACTGTACTTTAATACTGTTTCATAAAACGGATGATTCCGGTCCTAAAATCTGATTGGCTGAGCCGTGTTTGAAGCTGTTGTAAAACACACAATATATGGCCACCTATGACCACCTCACAGCAACTGTACTCTGTATCACTGCGCTGCATCACAAAAAAATCCTTGTGCTGTTAATGGAATAACCTTTGACTCCAAAATGCTGCTTGCATTGACCACCGAGTATATTGATGAAGTAAGAACCCGTTTTTTGTTTAAACTGAGGGGCTGGCAACTTATTTTTTAACTAGAACTAAGACCAAACGTTTTTCTCCTCATTCAGAGGTCCATAGTTGCTTGGCAACGATACCGCACTCTACAGGAACTACATTTCTTGGCAGAATACTTGTTTATGTCGATTAGTATTAATTGTTTTATGAAAATTGTGTGTTTTATTATATTTTACGTTGGCCGGCATTTTATAAAAGCAGTAAGCCACTTGAGGCTCTGCGTCACTGTGATTTTATCACGGGGAAGGGAGTGTTAGGCGCTCTGCTTCACATCGTGCCTAAAAACACCCTTCCCCGTGGTAAAATTGCAGTAACACAAGTGGCTTATTGCTTTTATAAAATGACACAGGTTCTTAAACTGTAAACTAATACTGCCAAAGCAGCTTAATAACCATATTTGAAGTAGTGTGCATGGGCTATTTTGGTGAGGTTACTAGCCATATCAGTGCATAGCAGTGTTAGCTGGCATGTAGCAATAATCGTATTTCGACTTCTTAACGGCCTCGTAATCCAAAGACGTTTATCCAAAGAAATTTACAAGCTATGAATCATACAAGAGCAACAGGAACAAAATCTTTTTTGCCAAAGCTCTTTAAACAATTGTGCTTCCTGAAATGACCAGTATGAAAACCTCTGGCTCTGTAGTCTTCTTGTGTGTAATCAAAGTAATTGTATGTTTTTGTCATCACAGGCAGCTTGAGGCGCTGGACAAAGAACTTCAACAGCTTTCACAAATTAAAGAGAACGTGGAAGACAAGGTAAAAGTCATGCATTGTTTGTTGTTGTTGCAGATTCTTCTCTCTCACATACATAAATACTCACTCTCTTTCTCTCACTCTCGCTTGTTCTCATTTCCTCAGCTGGAGCTTCGTAAGAAACAGTTCCATGTGCTCCTCAGTACGATTCAGGAGCTTCAGCAGACACTGGAGAGTAAGCCAGACCTTCATTAACACTACATCAGCGCTAGTTCACAAAGCAGGATTACTCATAAATCTGTCTGGTGAGATGTCGCAGTAGGATTGAAATGTCACAATAATAAAAACATTTTAAATCAAACCCAGTTTATGTAATGGAATATGACAGATGCAGTATTTAATCTGATGCAAGAAGTGTCTGTGCAGATGTAGAGTTGCTGCTAAGTCTTTTTGTCATGAATTGCCAGGCATATATGCATTTCTTGTATATTTTGTGTATTACTGAATTATTTCTGAATCTGTAATTGCTGTTTCTTGTATGGCAGATGATGAAAAGATGGAAAGTGATGAAGCGAGTCAAGAGAGCCCAGTGGAAAATGGAGACTAGTTTTTTTCACAATTTTAAATCTCTTCATGAGCCCAAAATGCAATGCAAGCTTGCAGTTAATGCAGTTAGATACATTTGTTGGAATAAAAGCAATGCTTTCATAATCTTAGTTTCAGTTTGGTTTATATATGTATGAATGGACAAGGTTTTCTTCCAACAACAGAGAGATATATATTTATCGCTGTTGTCAGAAGAAAACCTCATATCTCCAAAATGGTAACTTTACAGGAGAAGGAAAAAAACATACTCTACTTTTAATGCAAGTCATTGGAACCAGAATTTTTTCCCAGTCATTTTGGACAATTTCTTTTAGTCCATTCCTCATGAAATGTACACACAATGTAAATGGCAACAGGCATTTTCAAATTATGTCAAAAACTGAAAAACAATAGTAATGGAGATATGAAGTTTTCTTCCGAGAGCAGTGAGATATATAATATATATATATATATATATATATACACACACACACACACACATACATACATACATACATACGTACACTATATTGCCAAAAGTATTCACTCGCCCATCCAAATCATTGAATTCAGGTGTATAAAACCAAGCACCTAGGCCTGCAGACTGCTTCTGCAAACATTTGTGAAAGAGTGGGTCGCTCTCAGGAGCTCAGTGAATTCCAGCGTGGTACTGTGATAGGATGCCACCTGTGCAACAAGTCCAGTCATGAAATTTCCTCGCTACTAAATGTTCCACAGGCAACTGTCAGTGGTACTATAACAAAGTGGATGCGATTGGGAACGACAGCAACTCAGCCATGAAGTGGTAGACCACGTAAAACGACAGAGCGGGGTCAGCGGATGCTGAGGCGCATAGTGCGCAGAGGTTGCCAACTTTCTGCAGAGTCAATCACTACAGACCTCCAAACTTCATGTGGCCTTCAGATTAGCTCGAACAGTGTAGAGAGCTTCATGGAATGGGTTTCCATGGCTGAGCAGCTGCATCCAAGCCTTACATCACGAAGCGCAATGCAAAGTGTCGAATGCAGTGGTGTAAAGCGCCGCCACTGGACTCTAGAGCAGTGGAGATGTGTTCTCTGGAGTGACCAATCACGCTTCTCCGTCTGGCAATCCGATGGATGAGTCTGGGTTTGGCAGTTGCCAGGAGAACGGTACTTGTCTGACTGCATTGTGCCAAGTGGAAAGTTTGGTGGAGGGGGGATTATGGTGTGGGGTTGTTTTTCAGGAGTTGGGCTCGGTCCCTTAGTTCCAGTGAAAGGAACTCTTAATGCTTCAGCATAACGAGATTTTGGACAATTTCATGCTCCCAACTTTGTGGGAACAGTTCGGGGAGTTTGGCCCCTTCCTGTTCCAACATGACTGCACACCAGTGCACAAAGCAAGGTCCATAAAGACATGGATGAGCGAGTTTGGTGTGGAAGAACTTGACTGGCCTACACGGAGTCCTGACCTCAACCCAGCCAGGCCTTCTCGTCCAACATCAGTGTCTGACCTCACAAATGCGCTTCTGGAAGAATGGTCAAAAATTCCCATAAACACTCCTAAACCTTGTGGAAAGCCTTCCCAGAAGAGTTGAAGCTGTTATAGCTGCAAAGGGTGGGCCGACATCATATTAAACCCTATGGATTAAGAATGGGATGTCGCTCAAGTTCATATGCGTGTGAAGGCAGATGAGTGAATACTTTTTTTGTGTGTATATATATATATATATATATGTACACATACATACATGCATATATATTTTACCTCAAACCACTCTTAATGTATTTTTTACACCTTATTGGTTGAATTATCTGGAAATTTTGAAAAATCAAAAAGTTCCCTTTTAACTTGGGGTGCCAGTGTGTACAGCAGCTGAAACCAACAGATGGCGCCACTGTCTTGTGGCACACTTCTTCCTTACTATGAGTACTCAGGAACAAAATATATGTTACACCTATAGAAAATTACTATTATGAGCCTTTATTAGGTATTTTGTATTTGAAAAAGCTCTCACTGTAATATTGTTATTATTATTATTATTATTATTATTATTACATTTCTGTGTTTTGTACATTAGTGGGTATGCATATGTAGTTCCCTTTGCAAAGAAATCAAGAGCAGTCAGCTTAAGCATACAGCATAAGAAGCTGTCCAGCAAGGAGAAGTTCACCACATTCTAAAATCTATATACAATACAGAACAAGGGGAGCTTGCAGACCATACCACGCTCTGCCTATGTAGGAATGAGGCTGATGCTCGGAGACGGGTGATGGCAGGGGACACTGCGGAGACTGAGGTTGTTATTGGTGCAGCCGCTCTTTGCAGCTCTGACAGCAGATCAGAAGTGACGGACAGGCGAACGAACGCAGAGGAAAAAGTCTCCCAGTGCCGTCCTGCTATTGCTTTTTATCCATCCAGATCTGTCAGCATGACCTTTTTGGATTCAAATATAGGTTTCTGCCTCTAAGTACACATGGAAGGCATCTACAGTCTTATGCAAGATTTTGAACAGCCGTGGTCAAATCCCTTTTTTTTTAAGTTAATGCACCATATAAACACGAAAACAAACTTAAATGTGGCATTTTTGTGTGCAATTTCTATTTATTTGCTGTACACCAACATATAGGTGCACTATGTAGATCCAGACTGTATTACCGACTGTAGTCCATCTGTTTCTCTGCAACACTGTGTCCACTCACTGTCCACTCTGTTAGACACTCCTACCTTGTTGGTCCACCTTGTAGATGTAAAGTCAGAGACAGTAGCTCATCTGTTGCTGCACAGTTTGTGTTGGTCACCCTCTAGTCCTTCATCAGTGGTCACAGGATGCTGTCCACAGGACGCTGCTGCCTGGACATTTTTGATTGGTGGACTCTTCCCAGTCCATCAGTGACACTGAGGTGTTTAAACACTGCTGTGTCTGATCCACGCGTACCAGTACAACACACACTAACACACCACCACCACGTCAGTGTCTACCACCCAAATAATGCTTGCTCTGTGGTGGTCCTGTGGGCGTTCTGACCATTGATGAACAGGGTAAAAGGTGGAGTAACAAAGTATGCAGAGAAACAGATGGACTACAGTCTGTAATTGTAGAACTACAAAGTGCACCTATTTAGTAAGTGGAGCTGATAAAATGGACAATGAGTGTAGAAACAAGGAGGTGGCCTTATTGAAGTGGCTAGTCAGTGTGTAAACATTGCATATACTAAAGAACCCTTGAAAAAAGACCCTTTTTAATAAGCCTGCTGATTTGAAATGAGTGATTTCTCTAATTTAAGTAATAATAATTTCTATTTTCTTATGTCTATAATAATGTATAATTCATGGTGCCAGAAGAAAGAAGTCTGTAGACTGGAATTACTTCACACCCCTTTTTTATAACAACACTGAGCTGCTAATTTATTAGTTACCTACACTCATAGGCCGTTTTATCAGAAACACCTACCATATAGATGCACCGTGTAAGTTTACTGACTCTGTTGCTGCACAAAATATCTGTTAAAAAACAATATGCACCTGTCCTTTTTGATTATGTACTTTGTTGAGAGTGGGCTTTACACATATAGGAAACATCAATGCTATATTATGATAAATACCACTTTTATTAGAGAAATAAGATATGTTTTCCATCATACATCAGCTGTTATTCCTTTCAAAAGCGCATCATATCCAAAACTACAAATGGATTATACAGTATTTTGTAATGAAACTCTTCACTTATAAATGGTTTGCAATAAAGCTCAGCAAAATCAAATTACTGTTCATTTGTCAGCAAATGGCCCAAATTGTCTTTTCCAAAGTCCATTTGTGGCAAAGTTACAGAGTCAATAGATTTCTCTACAATGAACCGTTTCCTCTTCAAACCACTCTGAATGTCTTTGTTTACATCTCAACCATTGAATTATGCAGAAATTTTGAAAAGATCAGTGCCATTGCCCTTTACATTAAAGTTCTTTAATGAACAGCAAGAATTTTACAGCATATTGAGTTATTAAATAAACTCTTAGTCCCTTTTTTTATCTAGCAAAGGTCAAATGTTTCAAAAATCAATAGCAGGTCATGCCATTAGCACACTGGCCTCTGCATTTCTCCTGTATAATTATGGCCTACGCTGGTTTTAATGACCCATTTAGCATTGCACTCTTTCCCACACACATAAGCAATTCAGCCAACAGCACGAGCACCTGCTGCGCTCCAAAATGCCCCCTACGTGAAGCCTGAATGGACAGGCAGTTGGAGGCCGTAGGGGAGGTTTGAGTTTTGGTCAGGACTGTGGTTGGAAATGACAGCGAATATGACTGGATTTAGCTACTATACATTACCAAGTCTTGTAGGATGCAACAGTACAGCCATGCACATGTCACATTAAGTGGGTGGGTGGGTGACACACATACAAGAAAATGAAGGTTACCTGAACTGTAAATAAACCTCTGCTCCCAGCATTCACTGGGCCTCTTTTCACAAAGACACCTTTTCACACACAATGGAAATGATCTGAACTAATTTATCATTTTGGAGGAAACTAAATAGCAGGACAGAATATTATTTGTGACCCAATCTGAAAGAACATAGATTGCTGGTTGTATTTATTGAAACAGAATCACACAAAAGGTGGATATGCAGCAATTGATTCATTACTGTTATAAACCTGACCAAAAACAAAATGCAATGCTGTGCAAATCATTTAAACCCTATATGTAATTGAAAATAGTACAAAGACAACATATCAAACATTGAAACTGAGAAATTGTATTGTTTTTTGAAAAATAAATGCCCATGTTGAATTTGATGCCAACAACACATCCCAAAAAAGTTGGGATGGGTACATGTTTACCACTGTGTTTAACAACACTCTTCATTTAACAACACAGCATTTGGGAACTGAGGAGACCAATTGCACCAAATGCACTAAATGTTTTCAGTGGTGACAGGTCTGGACTGCAGACAGGCCAGTTCAGCACCTGGACTTTAATACAAAGCAATGCTGTTGTAATACATGCAGAATGTGGTTTGGCATCATCTTGCTGAAATAAACTAGGCCTTCCCTGAAAAAGACGTCGTCTGGAT